AAAGAAGGTCACTACATCCTTGTAAAGGGAACAATCCAAGAGGAAGAGATGACAGACATAAATTTGTATGCACCAAATACTAATGCCCCCAACTATACAAAACAAATATTAAGGGACATGAAAAACCAAATAAGTACTAATACTAATGTAGTGGGGGACCTCAGTACCCCACTGTCACAAATACAAAGATCATCTAGGCAAAAAAAAATCAGTAACAAAATACTAGAACTTAACCAAGCTTTTGAACAAATGGACTTAATAAACATCTTCAGTGTGTTCCACCCCACAAAATCAGAATATACATTCATTTTGGCTGCACATGGGTCATTCTCCAAAATAGACCACATGCTAGTTCATAAAACATGTCTAAATAAATGCAAAGGAATTGAAGTTATCCCCTATATATTATCAGACAATAGTGCAATTAAACTGGAGATCAATAGCACAAGAAACCACAAGAACTTCACAAACACATGGAAATTGAATAGCACATTCCTGAACAACCAATGGGTCAGCGAGGAAATTAAGATATTAGACAGTTTTTACAATTAAATGATAATGCCAGTTCAACATACAGGAATCTGTGGGACACAATGAAAGATGTTCTATGAGGCAAATACATAGCAGTGAATGCCCACACTAGGAAAACAGAGTGAGATCAAATAAACAATCTAATACTGAATCTTAAGCTTCTAGAAAAAGTAGAGCAAGACAAACCCAAAGCTAGTACAAGAGGGGAAATTACAAAGATCAGAGCAGAAATCAATGCAATGGAGACTAACTGAATGACACCAAAAATCAATGAATCGAAGAGATGATATTTTAAAAGAATAAATAACATTGATGAACCGTTAGCCAACCTAATCAAAAAAAGGAAAGAAAAGGATCAAACCCATACAATTAGGAATGAAAAAGGTGAAATCACAACAGATCCAGCAGAAATCCATCAATACCTACTTTGAGAACCTGTACTGTCATAAGAATGAAAACACAGAAGAAAGGGACAGATTTCTAGATACATATGAATTACCAAAGTTGAACAAAGAAGATATAAAAATTTTAAACACACCAATTACAGTCAGTGAAATTGAAAACATAATTAAAAATTTACTATCAAGGAAAAGCTCAGGTCCTGATGGATTCACTGCTGAATTCTACAAGACATTTAGAGAAGAACTATTGACCCTACTTTTTAAATTTTTCAATGAATTTGAAAGGGAAGCAATACTTCCAAATTCATTCCTAGAAACAAGTGTTATGTTGATTCCACAACCAGGGAAAGACCCAACCAAAAAAGAGAACTATAATAGAGAAGGGTGGAGGGGGTGAAGGGAGGCTAGGGAATGGGGAAAAATAAGACCCAAGATACATCATGTACAGGTACAAGTACCAATGATAAATGTAAATGTATTGTATACCTAAAATGTACCAATAAAAGAATT